GGGAGGTGCTACACATAGGGAAAGAGTTTAGAAAAAGGAATCCAAGAGTATGGTCCGAGCAGGTACCAGAGATAAAATTACTTTTTCTTGGAGCATGAGAAATCCTTTCTTTCTGTAACAATTTCTTAAAATGCTTTTCTTTCTTGAATTTTATGACTGACCTTTCTGGGTGAAACCCTAGGGGCTGGGGAAAGGAGAAATCCCATTCTTGAGGCCATACACAATCCTTACCCAACAAGGCACATCTGAGGCTCATCTGGGGCCCAAAGAACTCCTGATCAGGCCAGCAAGAAACTTTTAGAATCCTATCGTGGCAGCAGTTTCTTGTCTCCCTCCATAGAAAAGAGTAAAGATAGACCCAGAAACCTCTGCCATTAGTCTTTTAAATTTTTTTTCGATTACAGTTGACATTCAATATTATATTTGCATTCATCCAAGCCAAGAGCCCCAGCAGAAGTGAAGCGGCATGAGTACCCCACAGAAAATCCCCGTCTCTCCTACTCTGCCCTTCACTGTTCACAGACTACACTTCTAAGCCGGCGACTGAAATTTGTTCCTGGGCCCATACACTAAAACCTGTATGGCTTTGAATACGGCATTGTCAATACTGCTTTTCCACTTCCTTACCCATAAAATGGGTAATAACAATCCATAAGGTTGCCATCAAGATCAAATAATGTGAAAAGGCATTATATTATAAATTACAGAAAATAATGCAAGACTTTTTATGAAAAAATATGGAGTCTGTAAAATACTGTAATATAAAGTAAAACGCTGTATCTGAAAGAATGAAGCACACTCACGTTCTGAGGTTAGCTACTTACTAGTGTGTAAACTTTCTTTGTGCCTCCAAGTTATCATTTTAAAATACAAATAAAATATAGTAGTAACAGACATTTTATAAATGTGACTGCAAGGTAAAATGAGTCAATGCAAAAAAAGGCACTGCTTATTTTTTGTCCACGGGGTTTTTCATTAGCATACACATGTCAAAGAGAATAAAGAAAAAACAAAAAGAGTAAAAGCAAACACACACACAAATGGGTCAATGTTGCAAAGTGGTCAATTAACATCAGTTGCATCAAACAGAAAGAGGGACTGAAGCTCCAACAATCAACTGTTTACAAGTGCGAGGTGAATACGCATATATAAAGCATGCTTTCTTGCTCTTTGGATGAAGGTCTAATTTCTTACCGTGACCTGTAAGGCCCTGGGGTCTGTCCCTGCACATCCCCTCCTGCAACACCTTCCTCAGTAGCTGCTCCCACCAAGGTCAGGGAGATGTGCCCCCCAAGCTGACTCTGCCTTCAGATCACAGCAGCTCTAGGGAAACCTTCACTGAATTTCCGATTGGTCACAGCCTAGGGGCTCTCATAACACCCAACACCTGCCCTTCATTGTCTTAATAACAGCTGCAATTTGACATTTACAAAGCACAATTATTTAGTTATCTATATTTAAATTTTTGACATTTCATCATGAATTTTTCTTCTAATTTTATTTTTTTTTAATGGCATAAAATGTTATTTATCTTAGATTAAATATTAATCTGAATTTTTTGGAGCCCCTTAAGTTTTGCTGTGGGAAACCAGTGAGTTTCTGGACTCATCCTAGTTCCAGCCCAGTAACTTCAGCTTGCAAACTCCAGGAGGCCTGAGGTACACAACCCCAGGGCCTAGAACAGTGGACCGTCTGGGAGAGTCTGCACAGAGTGAATTAAAGTACGTTTGTAGCTTTCGCATTGTAATCTTTTAAAGGAAAATATTGGTTTGTGACACGGAAATGGTCAAAGTACAATTCTTAAAAACAAGCTATGATGTTATTGGCAAAAGAATTACTGTGACTAAAATTCCAGCAATCCAAAAAATTACTCTTTGTGTCAATTTCAAAAGGCAGCTCGCTTTTGTTTCACAGTTTAATTGGTTCCCTAGCTCGTTTTGGAGAATTCAATTTCCCTTGAGCTGGCTTCCCTTGAGGTGAGTTCCTTCCTTTTTGGCCATGGAAAGGAAAACCAAACCTAAGCGGGAGCTGAATAATTTATGTAAGAGGTGGAATGTGAAATGTAAATTTACATTTCCTAAAGATGTTGTCTCCAGTTTCCAGACTGTCACACCAGCACGAACCTAGTGACCTGCTTGAATCAATTGTGGGGAACGGGATTATAAATTAATCTAGGTGATTGTATGCATTGTCTCAAAGGATAAGTGAGTGAAAACAGCAGGGCGTGGTCTGGTGAGTAACCAGAAAGGAATGATTTTTGGCTTTAACTATCTCCTCCTTCTTTCTATATGTACCAAATATATAAATATAGGTAACATATGATCATATATAAGTGACACATTTCATATATAAACGATGATGGTGATATATATAGAGACAGACAGAGACAACTTCCTTGAGGACAGGGACTTTCCATGACTAATGGCCTTGCCACCTGAAGGCCTGAAAAGAATGCTCTGCTCAGGATTCTTGGCTCCCTGAAACCCGAAACATGAACACCTTTATCACACACACAAGCGGCTGGCGCGCGGCTGCTGAGGACCTGCCTGTACAGTTGCTTTAGAGGCCACAGCGACGCACCGTAGCGGTCAGGAGGGAATTTATTTCTTAAAAACCTCTGCCTTCAGAGACTCACCTGCAAATGGTTACGGTCTACGGGCAGGAGCTAGGACGCCCGACGCGGCCGCGCCCGGGTGAGGAAGGGCCCGTACGCCGGCAGAAGAGGCCGGGGGACACAGAAACAGTCAAGTGCTCCCTCCATTGGAAACGACCTTTCACTTTCCAATCTCGCAAGTGGCATTTATTCTAAAACAGACCGCCCAAAAAGCGTGGCGAGCACTGCCCCCAAATATATGTGTGAACTGCAGGCGAGTGTCCCGGGGAAACTTAAGCTTGTTAAGCGGCGGTTCGGCCTTTGCTGGAGGGTCTGCGCGCGACGCCCACGGGCAGCCTCACTGGGCCGCAGCCAGGCGCGCGCCTCCGGNGGCGGCAGTGTCGTCGTCGGTGGAGCTCGGGGCGGACGTGGCCTGGGAGACGGTGGCTCGCGCCGGGTAAGTCCAGTTCCTGGCGCTTTGCCCGGTTCAGAGGTGCGGGGGCGCGTGGAGCTGGCCCGTTAGGACGCGGCGAGGGGGCCGAAGGCCGCGGACGGGG